AACTGTGAAGAGGTCAGGAGGGTGCAAGATTGCATCCTCTCCATTGCGCAAAACTTCAGCAAGCAAGTTATTGCTGGCCCCACGGATGTTATCTTAGCCCTACCATGGGGAAAGCCCATTGGGAAGGGTTCCAGGATCAGTGGTCAGCTGAGGGTCCACTGCTGTGAAAAAGCTTCAAGTGAGTGCAATGCTAAACCGCCCACAGGACCAGCTAGTTTTCTCCACTGACTACATCTTTGTAACCTTCTTTTTTTGGAGGGGGGAAGACCAGCTTGTTTTCCTTCATCATCTCCCCACCTCCACCCACCAGAACGCTTCCAAAATTAAGCACAGGCACAAAATTAAGCACATGAACTTTCCCATCTACTGCTCAGACATAAGGAGGGTCAGCCTGCACGTCACAGCTTCTACTTAATCCTGGAATTTTCTTTGCATGCAAATGATTAGCCTATATACTAGCTGTCATGAAATGTGTTTTTCCTTCTATGTACATAGGAGTTTAGAGCACGCAATTTTGAATGATTTGCAGCTATATGTACACGAGCAAGGAATTCACCCCTAAGCCACAGCAACATATAATACATACAAGCACAAGTAGAGGTAGCCTTGAAGGACCCGTTTCAGTCCCTGAACACAGAGAAACAGCTCTTCTGTTGCAATGGTTTTTCCTTTTTGCAAACATATAGAGCACATAAACGTTTTCAGATCTGCACATTTACTCCCTGGCAGTCTGAAAATACAATAGTTTGTATAACCAAACATGAATATCAAAGCTTCTGTCAGACACCCAGACAGCGTCCACTCTTTGGGTAATGACTCACGTCTTATACTTTCCCTCCTCTCCTCATTATTACAACAAAGTGAAAGGCAGAGAAGCTTGTAACAGACACAAATACTGACATTCTCAATTAAAGGGGAGAAACATGAGCATGAAGGAAAATGGTATTTTTTTCCTTCTAGCAAAAAGTAATTCTGTACTCTGTTTGTCTCCTAATCAGCATCTCTCATCTCTCCTTCAGACAAAAAGCATGTAGAACAACTCCCCATGATGGTTGTGTCTACAACAAGCTCTAGCGCACAGGAAGAAGCTCCATGCAGGGGATGTGTTCTAGCATGCATGAACTCACGCTCACAACCTGGACTTTTCCACAGCAACATGCTGGCTATAGCTTTCATGAACAGCACGTCTTGACTTCACCATCTTCACTGATAACAGCTCCAGACCAATACCAAAAAATACACCTTATCAAGTCCCAATTCTGGTAGCCCCACTCTGACTCACCCAATTGCCCTTATTTATGGTCTTTGAAGTCTGTCAGACAGGTACAGAATTTCTCATTAGGTTTTATATAAACAATTTAAACAAACAGTCCCTTGACTTCAGAGGGGAAGGGGTCCTTCAGAGGACTGCCTTACTTAGAGAGGTTAACCATTCTGTAGCAGGAGCCAGATACACATGTCCCAAATCGCTGTGCCTGGTGCTGGCTGCCTTTGGGACTCCAGAGACACTGACTCACTTGGAAACATGAGGCACAAGGATGCTCGTAGGTCCTGTAGTCGAATAGCCCAAACTCCACCGAAGTCAAAACTGTACTTGCAGGCACCAAGGACATTCAAAGAATCAGGTAAGCTGATTTTCCCTTGGAGGCTGAGCAGATTCCCCTAGAAATACAGTAAAAAACCACCCAGGTCTTGGGCAACCCACAACATTTTTTCTTTATTATAATAGAATAAGAGGAACCAGAAATGGGGAACACTTATGTCATTGTGCGCAAGTATCAACACATAAAAGAGATCTAGGAAGCTGCATCAACAAAATGGTTTTTATATAGCTACATTTTTTTATTTGAAAGTGTGTTTGCAATGCAGTTAACCTAGTCATGCTCTCAAGCCTAGAAATTTCTACTCAGCACCTCTGCTCCTCCCTGGAAGACTAGGAGTTGGAAAAGTCCCACTTCAGCAGGAAATGAAGGATGAGGTCCTTTGTAATTTGAGATACTATCTTTTTTTTTTTTTATGAGTGTTTTAGTATCTGCTAGCAATGATCTACTTTATGAATGTAATGCCCACTCAGTTCCCACTGAGCTGAAACCATTTACAAGAGACACAGAGAAAGACTGCTGAACACTATTTTCTTACTGATCAGCACAAAGTTATTTGGCACAAGCATCTCCGTAAATATTTGTCCAAGACTGGGTAAATTTGCAGTGTACGATGGCCCTCAGACCTGTACTTCTCTCTATCAAGTGAGAAGGCTCATAGTCTAGCGCTGGAGCTCAGCTGTGCTTCAGCAGAAATACAAAATGCTAGAGGCTGAGCTTAATATCATTGCTGTCTTTCCCTTTGGATCTGTTCTTTTTCAGTTTGTTCAACGTTCCCCTTCATAAGCAAAAAGAAGATTAATTTTGAGATGGAATGAATGTAGGGTTATTCCTGGCTGTTGGGTAACAAAGAGAATTTCTGAAGTGTATTACACAGGACTGGGCTTTGGCATGGGAAGCCAGAGGGAGAGGAGGGAACCGTACCCACCTCCCGGCAAATATGCAGAGAAAGAGGACAGATCCAGAATCGTTTTCAGCCTCATGAAGCTGAAGGCAATGTCTGCTTTGGTACATGCAAGGAGGTCCGATGGACCCAGTTCACAGTGACACTGGCAGCCTGCCCCAGTATTTTGTTCACGTGTGCTTGTGACATCCATGGGCCCGGAGCTGTAATTATGGTCTCAGATGTCACAGTACTACTAGCCCAGGAGATATTTATGGATCTGATACGTACACTCTATAGGCATTGTGTAGTTTCAGACACATTCAAGAAAACTCCCCACTCAAGAAGAGGGACAGCAAGTCTACAGCGGTTTTTTGAGCTACACATCAAAGCAATACACTCCACTGGGCCTCACCACCAAAAGTCACTGAACTGTCTGGACAGGGTGGATTGCAGGCACAGGGCTCAGACTTATACCACAGATACCATCAGAGGAATACTAATGAACTGGGAACCGGGTTAAGTATTAGAGCAGCTTGTTTTCCTGTAAAGTGACTTGCTGCTTTTCACAGTTGCATTTTAAACTTAAGATGATAATATGGGCAAGTACATACTTTCCTCCTCCAACAGAAGGGAAAGGCCAGATAACCACTTCCACACTGTTTATTTATTTCTGCAAAGCTTATGAAGCATTTAGAGAATATAGTGTAATCCATGAACCTAGCTAGAGAGAAACAACTCCATACTGTTTGCTGTTTATATTATTAACTTTTGCTCCAAAGGATACCACCACACAAACAAAATCACCAAAATGTCACCATCTGTGGGAAAGAAGACCGTGACTATCAGCGAGGAACACACAGGATATAGCTCAGCACGGGGAACAGAAACTATACCAGGTTGCCAAATGCTATTCCTACGTGCAGTGTAGGGAGGTTTCTGTGTCCTTGTATGAGCAGACAGCACTTCGTGTTAAATACACCCATCGGACAGCAAGACGCATGGGAGAAAAGGAGTCTGATTCTCATCATGCTGGCTTGGCTCCGGAATAGCTCCAGTTTATTTTGAAGGAATACCTCCCACTTTACCACAGCTTTAGACACTCTGCAAACACACTCCTCTCAATCCATAATCTAAAGCATTACTTTGGGGAGCATAATTGCAGCCATCCCCTTTTCAATGTGCTGTATTTTTTCCAACATAGCTTATGTTCACTGAGGGAAGGATTTCAGCCACTTTCATGCTATGACAACAACCCATACACCCACTCACATTCAGGCACAGACAAGTCCTAAACAGGACAAGAATTGGGTCAATATATTTGTTTTGGAAAATATTTAAGGACAAGATTTTGAAACTTCTGTTTCCAGAAATGCTGGTATCCCAAACCCAGCGCTTGCCCTTAACTGAGACCACTTGCCCTCCAGGCTGAGTGTAGCCCATGTCATGTTGCTGTGCCTGCTCGCAGTCAGTTATAAAGCTGCATGGGGGTATTTCAGTCACAGCCTGTATCTCTGCTAAAATTTACTTCTTAAAAGCATTCAGTGTCTATTTACCAAGAGGATGGGAAGTCACCCTGTAATGCTTCTTTAACTATAGTCATCCTAAATATTTTACTACTTACAGTGCTCTCTGAAGGAGCATATTTGATACTGCCGTATACAGTAAGGAAGCAGAGTGCCTTTGTATTACAGAAAAAAAAGAGCTTTATAATAAGCCAGACTGAAACATCTTCATTACCTAAGCAGCTTTGTACTGAGAAAGCCTTATGCTGAGAAAGAGAAAGCAGTGCAAACATACCAGTAAATGCAATTTTCTGTTCTTAGTGTAAAAAAATTTAAAAAATGCAAACTAGAAAACAAATGTATTGTATATTTAGTATGTGCTTATGTAAACCACATAACCCTAAACCCTGAACAGATTAGAAGTGTACATTAACACTTATAATACAGATCAGCATATTTTTCCTTCACAATACCAGCTGTACGAGACTGTGGCAGAAGAAATGCCTTTAAACCAGGAGAAAATCTCTGTATTTTAAATTCCGGCTCCCTCCAGCTTAATCAGATGTGTTTTCAGTATGAAGGGAGTTCTTGTATATAAACTAAGATATATGACTGACAGTATGCCATCTTAGCAACTGCTTTCCACACAGATATGTCCCAATACTGCAGCACTTTCAAACACTTCACACAGATATTTCTTTAAAAGTTACACTGACAAAAGTAATTTCACCCTTTTCAGAAGTACTTGATGTCTATTTTATTTTCTGTGCCTTTAATAGTCGGGACTCCAAGACTTCCTTTTTGCCTCAGCTCTAAGCGCCACACAGTTTGATTTTAGCCAAACCACAAATAACATTTATTTTAGCTCTTTAATCATTCTAGTTCTTACCTTTTTTTAACTAAGCCTTTTCTGCTTTCTTCCATTAGAAGCAAATGCTGGCTTTCTCTTGTTTTCAGGGTATCCTTTGCTTTTAAGGAAAAAAATAGGCAGAAAGCTGTATTCCAACATACCTTGAAAGGAGAGTAGCATTCACTGCCAGCTGTGTGACTTTTCAGTAGCTGCACTCAGATTCCAGCGTTCCCAAGAACCACGATGTCACAAACCCCTGAAGCTCGCAACCAGGAACGGTTGCTCTCGCACACCCTTCCTCTTCTCTGGGTATCTGACAGCTGTACACTTTTTAGGACTGCAGCAGGACTTGCCTCCCAGCCCCTTTGCCACTCTGATAAGTCATCCCCTCCCTGCTATTAAGAGCATGCTGCCATTATATCTTAAAAGCACGTCACAGCTTGTATGCAGTAGCTGTGGGAAAGCTGCATTTATTTATACAGGAAGCTTGAGTACAGCACTTCCTACTTCCCATCCGAGTCTCAATTCAACTGCAGGTGATTACTTAAACCCTGTCAGCTTCCAGCCAATGCATACCCTACGTTCTTATTTGGATATCTGTGCTGCTTTTAATTATAACTCCCATCTGAGCCCTGACAAGATAAAACTGAGAGGGGCAAGGCATTAGATGCGACACCCATAAAAAAACCTCCCAATTGCCATTTAACCTGTTTTAGGGTAGCAGTTGTATAGCAGCTGCTCTACCAGCAGATGATGTTTGAAACATTGCTGGCTTATGCTTATCTCCACATGTAAAAAATGTCATCTAAAAGCAAAGTGATTTCTTCATGTTGGAGGGGAAGGGAGCAAAAATCTAAACTCACAAGTAAAGTAACAGTGTAATTTCAAATCTGAATGCTTAATGATGATTGTGCTCAGCTTATTCTGTCAATGCTAAATTTTGATTCTTTAAGCTGGGCTTGTGTGCAAGAGGGGCTGGTAATTCTACAGTTCTGTACTGCAAAGGTACGGCTGTGATTCACACCAGCCAAGCAGGAGGAGAAGGTATTGTTGTGCCACATGACACCAAACCCTCAAGAACTTTTCCTGCTGTAGGAAAGGTACCACACCCACAGATAAAAAGTACAGAAACATCGGAGTGCAGGGGGTGCAGAAAAACAGAGGGAGAAACAAGTATAGATGCTAATCTATAATTTTCTTTTTATGATGAAATAAGTTGGGTTTTTTTTTTCCCAACCTCAATGATTCTAAGTTTACTTTGTACTTCATGCAATTATTGCTGGCATTTTGCCTTCAGGACTGTGCTGTTAAGACTGATGTATAGGCATTTCTTCTGGGGTGTACAGAAACTCACAGCTGACTCTTTAGTTCTATTCAGACAATTATACTGCATCAGACTAATTTAAGGAAAAGGCAGAAAGCTCGTGCAACTTTAATTCAGCCTCCTTGCACCTATGCATTACAGCTTTGCTTGAATTATCGTGACATACTCTTTTCCCCTCGGAATAAGTACAAACTTTATCAATCTATTTGACATTGGGTGTTACCTACAATTTTATATCTGGGGAGGGAAGGAATAGTCACCAGAAAAAATACAGCCGTTCCAACATGTGGAATCATGTTGATCCCTACGGTATCCATCAATAGGATTACAGTAGGATTAAGCAACCTAGAGCCATGTCACAGATATTGCCACTTGAGCTAGTAGAGCATTTCCTAGCAGTAGCAGACTTTTATCCTCAACAGCGACCAATCCTAGGCAGTACTCAAGAAACACCTGGAGCTCAGAGCTATTTTTTAGGCTGCAGAGCAGTAGTGGAAATGTGGACTTCTGTGTCAAACTTCACAATTAGAAAAGGAGTCTCCTTCAGTGGTTAGATTTTTATCCATCTTCTGTTCCAGTATGAAATAGCTTAAGCCTCTATCACTGCCTTTTCACTACCTCCTCTCTCTTCTCTCTCCCTCTGTTCCAGCTCCTGTATTTTCTTCCCGCAGCTGCTACCTTTGCTACTCTGCCTCCATCACATGAGTACTTGTTAGGCCACAGATGAAGCGCAGCAAGAAAAATCTTCCTGCTCTCAGCTCCTGTGCTCAGCACCACAGCACTTGAACAGCAAAAGGACAATTATCTCAAGGAGGAGAGTGGTGAGAGAGGGAGGATGAAGGAAGTCAAGTCACTCATGTAGGTGTAGGGAAAATGGCAGGGCAGTATGTCCAGAAGTAGAGCAGGGGAGCAGCCAGTAGCAAAGGCAGTAACAGCATCTCGCTTGGTACTTACTCCTTGCATGCACAGTGAAACAAACACAAGCTTCACTGCAGTAGCCTCCACTAGTCAAGAGAAAAAACTGTGAATAAAGGCTAATCATCTTTCCTTCAGATAAATGATGAGGCCAGCTTGTTGGTTTTGGTTTTTTTGTCGTGGTGGGGGGGGGGGGCTGTTCTTTTAAATTAAGAAAACTAGATTAGTCCATTAAAATGCAGATAAATTCTGGAAACTTCAGCTGTAAACACCACGTGATATTTTTATCTGGTTTCTACTATGTATCTCTATGCATAAAAGTTATAATGCGACTGCACAAACACGCAAAACTGCTTGCAGCAAAATTAATTCCCTTAAACATCACAGAATTGTTGAGAAACATCATGAATGCTCTTCCAGACATTTAATTTTCTGGAAAACGTTAAGACATGCTTGTTCCAAGCACTCCACTTCTAGAGTATCAAATCCTAAACTATGGTCCCTGGATTTACATGCAGGACAATCACTCACCGATGCTCTGTGGACAGACAGCTGGCTATTCCCCTGCTTCCATCTTTGCTTCTGCGTCCGCCCCTATTTCTGTGCTTATCCAGGATCTCCGCAGCAAAGAGGAGCTGAAGGTGACGTGGCACTGTGCAAAAGCTCAGGCTATAAGGACTTGAGATGATTAATACTGATGATTCTTTCCATTGCCATCACCAAAAGGCATGAGCTAGACTGTTATGAGCTCTTCTGTCAAAATTATTTCTCTTCCAGCTATACCTCAAGCCCAGGTACTTCAGAGTTTCACAGAAGCACATCTTCTTGGCAAGCTAATTTTGTGAAGTGTTATGAGTCATGCTAAAATTGCTACCCAGCTCACATCCCTGAATCTCTTGACCCAGATTGATTGATTTCCTTTTTGAGCCAACAAAAAAATAAAAAATACAAGTTCGGAATGTCATACAATGCCAGTCAAGGCACAAGCAAAGCCCTCCCCATTTGTTTTCTTCTTCAGTAACAGTGATATAAAGCACAAAACTGAGAGGGTCCAATTAATCTTTTGGACACTTAACTGACGCTTTTATAACTCCAGGACTGGGGCAATGGCTGAGCCTCTGAGGTGATACATGCCAAAATGCAACATCACAGTGAATTTTTAGTTGAGTTACTAGCCAGAATAAGAACAAAGGTTGGCATAGTTAATTACTAACATTGCTGTGTCATCCTTGCAGCTACTCAAAATACTTACAAAATGACTAAGCCACTCTGGCATTAACTAAAATTACTAATTAATTTATGAGGTAGGTGGGTAAAAAAGTAATAGCATGACCACTGAAAAGATGTCTCACATCCCACAAACAGAATACCATTAACAGCAAGTGAAAACACTGAGTTAGTGTATAACTAACAAACAGTTTCATTCTAATTCTACATAAAGAACTAGGATTAGCCTGTGAGGGAAAAAAAGAAATTTTCACTACTCTGATTCACAGTTCTCAAGTAATAAAAAACAAATATCCTGAAAAATAATTGCTATCCATAGGTGTAAAATAAAAACAGGTTTTGTAACAAGTTTTCTAAAACCAGAGCCTAACTAAGAAAAATGTGTCTTTATCCAATTCACTAATTGTACATGCAAATTACCCATTTTCCTATGAAAAAAAAAAAAACAACGTATTTATGTTTGCAAGAGAGAGAGTTTCACAAGAAAAATAGATACTAATGTGTAACATAATGAATGCTGAAAACAAAACAGAAAAGGTTTTTGCACAGCAAGTATACAAATATTATCTGAAGTTGCAAGTATGACACCCCTGATGTAATGCGCTAAGAATAGTTTTCTTCAATGGAAACTATTTTGAGGGGGGATTCTACCATCAAAAGTCTTTTGTGCTACCTTCATAAACCTAATGATTTAAAAAAAGAATCTCTATTCAATAAATGTATTTATATAATCACACAACAATGCTAGAAATCAGATGTCAGTGCAAAATATACAGAGCTATGTAATATTTTGCCTACAGACAAGCTTTACTCAGGATAGGTACAAGAAAATCAGGATCACATCTTTTCCTGTTTAAATAACCCTATTGTTCTACAATTCTGACTTGGTATGCAAGTCACTTGCTGACAAACCAGGCTTGAAATCTTCATTATTCCCTTTAGCTAAGACATACTAAAACTTTATTATAAGGTGTTTTGTATTGGAGTGACATAAATCAAGTTAAATTATTCTGAAAGAATATTATGTACAAATCTAAAGAGCTTTTTATTTTACAGTAAAAAAGTGAGTGGGATGGCACACTGTCTACTGAACATTTATAATCATTATGATCTCAAAACGCGTGCATTTGTCTCAGACACAAAGAAAAGTGGTAGGTGACTTACACTCATCCTGCTCTATGAATAAGACAAAATGCCATTAAAACTGTTGGCACAGCAGACCATTCCAAACAAAACATGATCATATGGCTTCCATGAAACTCTGTATTTCTTCTGTATTTTTTCCTGTGTTTATACTTTGAAGTACTTCCCGACATACTGGAAACTCGCTTTTGGTACTTGATCCATACAGAACAGCACTAGAGGAAAGAAACGTACAGCCTCACCAGAAAACAGTGAGAAGACAGCCTGCTACCCCAGTGGGACAGCTGTGCTTGGGGTGCTTAGAAATCTCCGCTTAAAGACCAAGGCCAATGGCTTTGATAGTACATTACTGGAGTTCCAGTGCCATTTGTCTTCTTGGGACTTGCAGGCACTAAAAGAAAGTGTATTTGCCCCCACAGGAAATCCTGCTGGTGGCAGAGCTCTATTGGTATTGCCGCCAGGAGCGGGCATTTTGCCACCAGCAACTGAACAGCTCTACATAAATTTTTAACTGCTGCTAACTCCTGTCTGTTCACTAAGTACGTGAAGAACCAGCTTGTGAAAAGAAAACAAGCTGAGTTGTTATGAGTCTGCCATAAATTAAATGCTGATGAATTGCCACTGAACAGCAAACATCCAGCCGAGGGGGAGCCAGCACAACACCCTCAGCCTAGGGCCCATCCTCGGCCACCTCTTTGCACTCAGATGCAGGGAAGAGACAGCTTACTGTCACCCTTCCCCTTGACCTTCTCCTATGACATGAGCTGTGCCAGTCATCGGTTCACAAAGCAGTCACGTCCCTCCCTGCACACGCAGTGAGCACAGACACAAACCCTCTGGATGGCAAGA